CAAATCTCACTGCTTATTTTGTTCGTGAGTGCTATGCATTCTCCTTTAATATAAACCCTTGTCAGCCTTAGACTGAAGACTATAGGGGGCCTCTCCTACCCCTTCCACATACCAGAGTGTTCCACTCAAAATGCACCTGGATAAAAACCAGAACCCTATTAGGCAGGCCTGGTGGTACATACCTGTAATTCAAGCACTGAGGAGGGAGACTGAGGGAAGGTCCCCAGTTCTACATAGTGAATGAAACCTTGTCAAAGGGAAATGAGAGGGACACGTGGTCGTGCCTTCTGTTGGTAACCTGCCTCCAGTCCCCCTGAGCAACATCCATCTCATGGCCACAGCCTGTGCTGGCCTGTCCCACTGACCTGTCTGCCCTGTGTAGGTAAGAGTGTGCCGCCTCAGTAGAGGCTCAAAGTGATGTATCTACAAATTCTTCCAGTATCCAGTCACGTTTTAAACACAGTAGGTACAGAACTGACATGCCAGCAGAAGAGAAAGCCCCCTCAGCCCCGGAATTCTGCACTGCCCATCTCAGTGTCTGGGGGAGCAGGGAGAAAGGAGGCAGGTCTGTACAGATGGGACCCTGAATAGAACTCTTTGAAGGAAGGTATTTCGGAGAACCTTAAATTGGTGGTCGAGGACTAGAGCACGTGTATTTTGTAGACGTGAGGGGCAGAAGAACAGAACCCCTAGGGAATGGAGTGTGCTTCGTCGGGGAGTACTGGGGGGGGCGGTAAAATGGTTCCCCGGCGTCTACAGTGTAAGGTCCCGGCCGAGCCTAGCGACCCAGGCTGGTGGCCTCGGCCTCTGCTCCTGCGGCTCTGGGGTCCGCCTGCCCCGAGGGTGGCCAGCTTGGCGACTCCTCGCCCCGTCCAGGCCTCATAACTCTTTGGAGTTGGCTCCGGCGCTCCGGGGACCCCGCGGCGGGCGGGGCGGGCGGCCGGTCTGACGTGTCTCGGCGGGATTGGAGCCGCCGCCCTATATAGCAGCGGAGGCCCGGGCGCCGCGCCTCGGAGCGTCCCGGCTTCTCCCGCGCGGCGGCGGCAGCTGCAGACTACCGGGTGAGGGTCGAGTGCGCGCGGGGCAGCGGGCGCGGGGGGCAGGGCTCGTGCAGGCCTAGGTCCGCGTCCCCTGCGCTCGGCCGGCGGCGCTGGCGCCCGGTCTCCCGCGGCCGCGGCGGGCGGGGGCCGCTACGTGTCACTCTGCGCATGGCCGCTCCGGAGCGCAGAAACTTTCCCAAGTGCGCAGCGGGTCTGCGTGCACCGCCGGCCTCCGTGCCGCCGGCTCCCGGGCCGCCGCTGCGGTGGGGGAGGGGAACGACCTGGCCCAGGTTGGTGACGTGGGCGGCCGACCGGGCCTCCCCTGCACCCTCTCCTCCAGAGGGGCCGCTCGCGCCTGGGCTGCTGGGGGCTAGAGGTGCGCTTGAGGGCGGCAGGCTGGGGTCTTCACCTCAGGTCCGGCTGTCCCGCAGCAGGCGGCCGCACCTCCACCTGCCGCTACGTGGCTGTCGCGGCCTGAGTACCACTTGTATGTGCATCAGGGTCCGTGGGTGAAAAAGACATTACGGAAAAATACCGAATTTGGATGAAAGTCTGAAAGGCCGTGCATGATACTGTCCCTTTAAGCCTGTCCCCGCCCGCGGGTGCTCGTGGACGGTGGGAGGGCCGTGCTGAGGTGGCATCTGCGAAAGTTCCTCCCAGCCTGGCTCTCTGACTTCAGAGCTGGGTAAAGCCCTGGGCCGGCCTTGGCTGATCTTTCAGCAAAGCTGAATTCTGTTTTTATTTTAGTAGTTTGTAGTCTTAAGTAGCTGGATAAAAACTTCCCTTGCAAGACTTCGGAGGACTCAGAAGTAAGCAGTTTTAACTTTGGAGGAGAAACCTGAATCTCATCTGGAGGTTTTTCTCTGTCCTTACAGCTTGGTCGAGTATATAAAGAACTTGAGTCCCATTAGTTGAGATTGACATGAAATTCTTTCTGGACCATAAACTGACTGACTCTTTGCATACTACCCCTTACATAAGTAGTTGGCATGACTTATCACAGGAGAATCAACTTAAATACTTCCTTGTTCAGAAGCTAAGAAGTCGAATTCTTCACTTACAGCCTTTTCTGTGGGCATTTTCACCTTTCTCTTTTGCAGGAGCCCCTCTTCCGCTACAGTTCTTGGGGTAGAAGAGGAAGCCCTCAGTTTCTACCTCTCTTCCCTTAGTTCTAGTTCTGGCCTTTTTTTTTTTTTTAATTTAAATAAGTAATTTATTGAGAATTTCATACATGCATATAAGGTGTTTTGATCAAATCCTTGCCCACTCCCTACCTCCTGCCCTCCAACTCCTCCCATATCTCCCCATCGCTTTTTTCTGATAAATTCATGTACTCGTTCTTTATTTATTTATTTATTTATTTATTTATTTATTTTTATGGGGCTTTGGGCTACTCTTTCAGTCCCCCCTCTGAAGAGGTGGGATCTGACCTTTCTTTGCTATTTTCACTTACTCTCTGAGAAGCAAACTGTAATGTCCAGGTTGAAGATAGTTTGAGGTTTGCATTGGGTGCTGATGGACCCTAGCTTCCTGTGCCATTAGGTATTTGAGATGGCCCCAGTGAGGTCTTGTGGGAAAAGGGGTTGCACCCCCTGGAAGAGGCTTAAAGCATGTAGAGACCAATTTCTGGCCAGAAGGGGAAAGAACCTGTACAGTTCCTCCTATCTTGAGCAGAACCTTTATAGGGAACTAGAGGAACCTGGGCTCCCAGGAAAGTCTATCTCTGGTATTTGAAAACTGGTATTAGAATAAAGCTCGAAGTCTTTCTCAGTCTGATGATTCGATCCAGCAAGAGCGAACGAGTCTGAGATCCCAAATCTTGGGCTTCTGTTCCATGATGAGGGCTACTGTCCTGGGAACTTACAATAGAGGTACAGGATGGAGGACACACTCAGCTGTGGTGGCTGCTGTGAGGAATGGAGCACCCAGGTGTAGCAGGTTAGGCCTCTGAGCATTGTCAGTAAAGGTGAGACTGAAAGCAGTGTGTGCAGCTTAGGGAGGGTGTAGAGGTGGAAGGGCCAGTCCATAGATGCTGCTGTGTGAAACCAGAGGCATGTGGACACTGGGGCTGGGCATTCCTGAATTGGGGGCAAAGAAACTAACCTTTCATAAAACTTCTTATTCCAAAATCTCTGGTGGAAATGAGGTCTGTTTACATACAATATGTGTTTTAAATTGAGTCTTTAAAAACGTGATTTTGAGTGGGTAATAAGAAAAATAAAGTCTTACTTGATATCAGAACCCTATATATTCAGTGTGATCCATTTACCTGACAAACTGCTGTTTAAAATCTGGAGGCTAGGCCCAGTGAATCTTGTCAAACCAGTCCGGAGTTTTCTAGAGGTCCACTTTGCTGTCCCTGTCTGCCAGAGGGTGTTCACATACATCAGGAGCTCTGGAGGCTCTGCTCCATTTTCTTCCTTGGCAATGGCAGTAGGTTTAGGCATGGGGGGGATGCTTTCTGTTGCCACTTGAGTCACTATAAATGCTCCTGGGAAGAGAGATCTAGGCATGAGAGCATGGTCAAAACAGATAAACGTGTACAGAGCTGTGTGCTGCAATCTGTGCAAGGCAATACATGATATAGACGTGCTCAGTCATGGAAAGCAGGAGAACTGGTCAGTGTTCACATAGAAACAAAGACATATAGTTGAGGTCAAATCAGTGAACCTGACTTGGTAAAGTAGGATGGGCATCTGTATTTAAGAAGTGACAATGGCTGGGTGTGGTGGCGCACACCTTTAGTCCCAGCACTGGGGAGGAAGAGGCAGCAGATCTCTTGAGTTCCAGGCCAGCCTGGTCTACATAGTGAGTTCCAGCCCAGCTGGGGCTGCAGGGAGACCCTGTCTCAAAAAGACTGGTAGTACATGCCTTTAATCCCAGCACTTGGGAGGCAGAAGCCAGTGGATCCCTCTTAAGTTCAAAGCCAGCTTGGCTACTACTCACACAGTGAGTCTCAAAAAAGACAATAATGAACCAGATATAGTGGTACACACCTTTAATCCCTACACTCTAGTGAGGTCAATGCCAGCATGGTCTGCATGGTGGAGTTTCAGGCCAACTGAAGCTACAGGGAAACTATCTCAAAACCCTAAGGAAAAAAAAAAAGTGACAGTAGAGCCAGAGACAGCCTCACCTGAGTGGGAGACCAGACAATACCAGGCAGAAGGTTCACAGCAAGATGCTTAGAGCCCAATGTAAAGACTGTGGAAGACTGTCCGCTCCTACAGCCTTTTTTTTTTTTTTCCTCCCTCTCTTTAGACTCAGGGGCCCACCTTTAAATACTTGGGGTGATTGCCACAAGCAGCAAGTGACTTGCCAGATGGCCTCACTTACCCAAAAAGCCCCTGAGGCAAGGTGACCCATACTTCCTCACTTTACCTGAGTAGTTTTTGGCCCTCCCCAGGTGGCCTTTGAAGGTTCCTTCCAATCCTGCAAATTTTATGACCTGGTTGTTTAAATCCCTGGTGGATTAGAAGGGACTGTAGAACTTTTAACAGGTAACAGCAAGAACAAAGGAACTGCAAAGTTGCCAAGGATTCTTTAAAAGATGAGCCCTTGGTCACTGAAAGTTTAGGAGCCAGAGGCCTACATTCTGCTATAAGCCATAGTTAGCCTTACAGTGCAGTCAGGCTGGCAGAAGTCAGAAGGGCCATTGGAAGGGGTTTAACCAGTAGGAGAAACTGTCAGTTTGTGAGGATTTTACGACTTAGAAGTTTTGGCACTTGAAGGATCACTCCTTCCTTGTCCTCAGAAGTTTGAGATGGTTCAAGTTTTGTGATATGTCTTGTCAAAAGCTAATGGCCTAAGAGCAGAGCTTCTGTGTTGTTTGCCTGTTTGTATTACTGGCCAAATGCAAAGAAAATTTAGTCCTTTCCTGCTTGAGAGATGAAAGGATCTGAGTGAGTTGTAAAACATGGATAGTAACCTCTGGTTTTTTCCCTTCCTGTCCTGTAACAGTAAAAGCTGGCAGGCTGACAGAGACAACCTCGGGACGGACTTTCTGGCTACTGACCATTTTGCTGGTAAGTTTGTCTGTTCTGTCTGAAGACTTCCTGAGCCATCAGAAGTATCTTCCAGCTTTGTCTCCCAGCATGAGCAATCTGAGACATGCACTCTAGCTTGCATCTGATTTTAATCTTTTATCTTATATATAAATTATGGTTTTGTTTTTTTTTTTCAGGATTATCTGAAATTGGGTCTTAACATGCTTTAGGAGTGTTGAGCTTGATTTTCTGAACTTGGGAAGAGGTTTTACTATATTGTAATGGAGTGAGATTTCACATAACTTATTAAAATTATTTGGGCTTCTTGCTTTTATTTATTTATATTTTTGCCAAGGAGTGGTACAGATAAGACACTTGGGCATAGAAAAAATGAGTTCTTCTTCGAGATGTAATGTATGAAACTTGCCTTGAATTTGGGAAAGGGAAGAGAAGCTAATACCTGGTCTTAGAATACTGAATTGCATCAGACTTTCCATCCAACTAAGGGAGCTGGGGCCTTCAGAACCTGTGTCCACTGAGCTGTAGGAACTCTGCCTTGAGCCAGCTCCCTCTCCTTATGCGTCTTCTATATGTGGGTAAGAGTGGCAGAAAATGGTATAGAGTTTGGGCATTTATAAACATCAGAAGACATGTTGAACAAATTAACAAAATAAGATAGAAATATTTATTAAGAGAATGGTCCTGGTTGCCGGGCGTGGTGGCGTGTACCTTTAATCCCAGCCCAGAGGCAGAGGCAGGTGGATCTCTGCAAGATAGAGGCTACCCTGGATCACATTTTGACTTCCAGGTGGGCTGTGACTAGAGAGACCCTGTTAAAAATTAATCAACAACAACAAAAAGAGAGAGAGAGAGAGAGAGAGAGAGAGAGAGAGAGAGAGAGAGAATGGTCCTGGTATTGATCTGTGCCAAAGCTAGATCAGGCAGGTGGCAGGGTCTGTGGTCGCAGAGCACTTGTGGTTTTGGGGTGCTGGTACAAGCTGTCACTGAGGTTTGTATGGCCCCTGCAGTAGAGAGGTAGTATAGGCTCTAACCCCTGAACAGCTGGCATTGGCTAGCTCCTTGTCTGCTCTATACAGGGTAATTTCTGAGATAACTGTTAACCAGCTAGACTAGGGCCCTTACTTGGTTTGCATTTCCCATTTACCTGTCATTTGAAAGCCTGAGTAATTTACATCACACCTTATCAGGAGAATAAAAAGGTATGGTTTGCAGTAAGAAGATTAATCCTTGATTAGAACTTCTTTGCTAACAGTTCTGTAGCTTATTGTGACTGTGCCTGGGCTTTCTCTTCCTTGATCCCCTCTTTCTTGCTATAGTGGCTTACTCGGATTGCGTGTGGACGTGAGATCAACCATGAGCTCCGTTGCAGTTTTGACCCAAGAGAGTTTTGCTGAACATCGAAGTGGGCTGGTTCCGCAACAGATCAAAGGTGATGGCCAGTTTACAAGCTCTCCTTGTTAACTTCTGAGACAGTTCCCCTCAAGTTCTAGCGAATCTCCTATCTTTCTGCAAGTGACGTCTGGCCTTAGTAGCTAGGCTTACATGAATTAGACAGGTGTGAGGAGTGACTCCACATAGAGCAAATACAAAATGTGGGCAATTTTCTAGAAATCAGGATTGCTGTCCCAATTATGGGGTGCTAAATGCTGGTTATGAAGCATGCCAAGGCATTGTCAGCCTCCTTGAGGATGAAGGTCAGGCCTGACTTCTGAGCTCTTGAAGGGCACCAGCCAAGATCAAGATGAACACTGTCTAGTAGAATAGAATGCTAGCAACAGAAGCAATTTGAAAGTTTCATACACCCATGTTAAATAAGAAAGACAAATATTTAATTTTTTTGTATTGTTATGTATTTAAGTGTTTTACGTGCGTGTATGTAAGTGCATCACATGCATGCAGTCCCTGAAGACGCCAGAAAAGGGCAATGGATCCCCTGTAACTGGAGTTAATTTATGTTATTAACCCAGTATGTCTAAAACATTGTCATTGCAACATCTCGTTATAAAATATTCCTTAAAGTCTGATATTTTATGTTCTTTTTCTTCAAATTTTATTGCATATTAAAAATACAAAGCAGTCTGGTTTGAATGTTTTGTTTTTGTTGTTTTGTTTTTTTTTTTTTGTCTTTTTGAGACAGGGTCTCCCTGTAGTCCCAGCTGTCCTAAACTCACTATGTAGACCAGGTTGGCCTTGAATTCACAAAGATCCGCCTGCCTCTGCCTCCCAAGTGCTGAGATTAAAGGCATGCACCACCATGCCCGGCCTGAATGCTAAATTTTTATACAAAAGTCCTTGATCTCAGCTGGCCCACTGGCAAAATGGCTCAGCCTTTAGGTGCCTGCTGCCAAGCCTGACCACTCGAGTTTGATCCCTAGTCCCCGCATGGTGGAAGGAGAAAACCGACTCCTGCAGTTTGTTTTTTGATTCCACCCACATACCATGACACACATGCACATATATACATTTTTGTAAATCCTTAATCCATATTTAGATTTTCTAAAATTTTCCAATGAAAGAATAAAATGTTATATTTGAAGTTGTTACATATTTACATTTTTTTCATAACTGAATTTAATATTAGTTCTTAAATTGAATTAACATTTAAAATTCATTTCTGTCACAACAGCCACATCTGACATGCTTGTTTCCAGTGGCCATTGTTAGGCATTGGAACCCTAAGACACTGCTGCTTGCCTGGTTCTGAGTGTCTGGGACCTAAGGTCTTTCTCCTCAGTGCAGCTGTCTATGGTATCTCCTTTTTTCAAGAGTTCAGCATCTGATCATGCCAGCATTGTCGGGTGGGCAGCATGGCCTTGCAGCTAGGACGCAGTGGACCCGGACTCATAGAGGCCAATCTAATTCCAAAGGTCATCTGTTTCTCTCCCATGTTTGTGTGTTTCACAGTGTTTTTATTGGGCCTTGCTCCTGATGGACACTGCTCAGCCTGGGGATTTGGGGTTATCCAAAACAGACACTTGGTTTGTGGAGATCATGATTAATGAAACAAAAACATGAACAGATAGAGTACTATATGGAAAGTGAACATGACTAATGATCAGGGGTCCTGGTTTTCACAAGTCTTGCTGTTCCCTGCTGTCCTAGTTTGTTTCTCCATTGCTGTGACAAAACACTCTGACCACTACCAACTTGGGGAGGAAAGGGTTTATTCAGCTTACATCTCTCAGGTCACATTTCATTACGGAGCCCAAGGTAGGAGCTCAGGGCAGGAACCTGGAAGCAGGAGCTGGAGCACAGGCCATGGAGGATCACTGCTTACTGACTTGCTCCCCTGGGCCCTGCTCAGCCTGCTTTCTTATGCAACATAGGCCCACCTGCCCAGGGGTGGCACCACCCACAGTGGGCCAGGCCCTCCCACATCACTCAGCAATCAAGAAGGTGCCCCATGGACGTGGCCACAGGCTAGTCCAATGGAGGCAATTCCCCAATTGAGGCTCCCTCAACCCAGGTGTGTTAAGTTGACACTAACGCGATCCAGCACACCTGTCTTGACTTGAAGAGACATCAGATAGTTTCCATGCTTTAATTTTACCATCATACATTGAGGGAAAAGTCTTCTGAAACTTATTTCAAAGCTCTGAAATTGTCCTGTAACTCAAAGCAGTGTTTAAAGCTGTGCTCTATGTCAGGCATTATGATCATGATTTGGTTTTTGCACTATTAGAAGATGTGAAGACCTAAAAGTCTATCACAGACTTGCCTTCAATGGTTTCACACATCCCATTACTAGAATGGGGCATATACTCTCTGACCTTTGCAGGGTGACCACATAGAAAGCCAGAAGTTTAGCTTTGGAGTCTTTGGCCCCATCCAAATCACATGCTCAGGGTCCTGGGCCTGGTGACTACCTAGGATCCTTTCCCCAGGTTCCGACTAAAGCCCTGCACGTGTTTTTATTCATAATGTTGATTGTAGTTTCTTCCTAATCTGTTTGCTGATCTAGTTGCCACTCTAAATTCAGAAGAAGAAAGTGACCCTCCAACCTACAAGGATGCTTTCCCTCCACTTCCTGAGAAAGCAGCTTGCTTGGAAAGTGCCCAAGAACCTGCTGGAGCCTGGAGTAACAAGATCCGGCCCATCAAGGCCTCTGTCATCACTCAGGTAAAAATGCCATTCCTTTTTGCCTTGCCTGTTCCTTGTATGAAGGTGTAGGATCTGATGGAAAGTTTTGAACATGTAAAGATGAGGGTGCTTTGGATATGTAAAAGGAGGAAGTCTAAAGATTAAACAGCTCCCCTTCTTCCTCTGTGGAACACAACTTTTGCCATGCTCACCCTTCCTAGCATGCTGAGGACTGGCACACAGTTTGAGGTAGAAGGTATATGTCAGATTCATGGGGCCCATGTGCTTTTCCAAGTCACTGCAGTCCAGTCCTTGTTCCCAGTTGCTGAATCTGCCTTTATTGTCCATATGACCATCAAGAGCTGGTCTGTCTATAAGCAGTTAATGAATTGCCTGGTTTTCTTTGACTTCACTAACTCTTCTCTCTGGTACCTGAAGTTAAGGTATTACAAGTGTCAGAGCTTCCAAGTGACTGGTACCTGGTTGTGGTGGAAAATTATCATCCTTGTGCCAATAAGTCCTTGTCTTTGGGTGTATAAGCAACTGCATCCTGATCCTTTCTTTGTGGCTATGTTGCTGTCTTAAGTCTTGTTAACTGTATCTCAGACCTCTAACCATGGGTAATTGATCCCTCTTGCTTCCACCTCTCCTCCTCAACTGTCTGTAAAGCTGCTGTGTCATTAAGCTTAATTTGTCTTGCGTACAACTCTTGATGTTTCCTGTGCCCTGCCTCCTGGTCTGCTCTCCTGTCTGCTATCTCTGCTCTCTCCTCCCATCATAGGTGCTCCTAAGAGTCTCTTTATCCAAGTACTCACCTCCTACTGTAGCTCTCTGCCGCCTCCGTGGTAGTCTTGTGGTCTTGGGTTCTTTCTTCTGTCCCTCTCCTTGCCTTGTCCTAGGAGTCAATGATGAGTGAACACATACTAATTTCCTGTCTTATTAGTCATTCTTCTCTTTGATAGTTTAACCTAGCCTTTTGGGGTCTTTTCTGAGCAGGTGTTCCATGTACCCCTAGAGGAGAGAAAATATAAGGACATGAACCAGTTTGGAGAAGGTGAACAAGCCAAAATCTGCCTTGAGATCATGCAGAGGACCGGTGCTCACTTAGAGCTCTCTCTGGCCAAAGACCAAGGCCTCTCCATTATGGTCTCAGGGAAGCTGGATGCTGTCATGAAAGCCCGGAAGGACATTGTTGCTAGACTGCAGACACAGGTGAGTATCCTCTAAGCTTGGTGTTCCTGAGTAACTGTGTACTAATGCTACGCTCCTTGGCTGTACATAGTGCAAAACAAAGCTTCTCTGGATTCTTTCTAGCTCAGTCATTTGGAGTTAGAACAGCAGCATTTGTAGCCCTTGGAATTTTTAGTGAAAACTACCACGTTAGTCATAGAACTGGGGAGCCTATCAGATCATCCATTGAGTTCAAAATTAAAGCTCATCTCAGAGTTTGAGACACTTAAAAACTGCTGGACTTGCTAAGTAGTATAGAGCATCAGTTCCCAGGCTACCGCATCTGTTACTAAATACACTTTTCTATCCAGTAGTGCTGGCACATGCCTTTAATCCCAGCACTTGGGAGGGCAGAGGCAGGCAGAGCTCTGTGAGTTCAAGGCCAGGTTGGTCTACATAGTGAGTTCCAGGACAGCTGGGGCTACAGGGAGACCCTGTCTCAAAAAGACCAAAAAATCAATACCACTTTTCTAGGCCCCAAACTTTGGGAGTATAAGATCATATTTTTTTTCTCTTAACTTTAGCAGTCTGGTAGCCAGTACTTAGTTTATTTTTCAACCACTTGCATAAGTTAAGTAAATTTTTTTTAGTATTTTATTCTCATTTTATATGTATGAGTGTGTTGCCTGCATGTATGTCAGTGTACCTGTGTTGTGTATCCCGTCTCAGTCAGAAGAGAGTGTTGGATCCCCTGGATCTGGAGTTACAGATGGTTGTTAGCCGCCATCTGGGTGCTGGGAATTAAACCTGGATCCTCTGTAAGAGCAAGTAGTCTTAACCACCAAGCCATCTTTCCAGCCCCCTCCCCCTTCTCTCCCTGAGACCAAGAAAAAGGTAGAGAATCTTACTAAAATGCCACACGACGGCTGCCATGCTGCATAGTTGTTCAGAGAGGCATTCCTCTCACCCACTGCCGCCTCTACAAGCTTGAGCAGGAGCTGGCTCTAGAATGTGGTTAGAGGGAGAATCTGATCCTGCCCTGCTGCTGGCTGAGCAACACAAATCCTCAAAATGATCTCGAGTCCAGCTGCCTTTGTGGAATTACACAGTTAAATGTCAAAAAGGTGAAAATGTTGCATATAAGCTCTGAAACTTCTATTTACTCATTAGTAGATATTGAGCATCTATTATATTATATGAATGGGCTCTATAAAGGGAAAGGGTGAGTGCTAGTAGAGTGCTCTTAACACTGAACCATGTCCATACCCTTTTTTTTTTAAGTCTTTTTGAAACAGGGTCGTCCTGTAGCCCCAATTGGCCTGGAACTTACTGTGTAGACCAGGCTGGCCTTGAACTCATAGTGATCTGCCTGCCTCTGCACCCATAGTCATTTTAAAGCAAATCCTAGACACATCATTTCACCTGTAAATACTATACCATCTAACTATTATACTCTTAGCTTGCTTTACAAAATTAATAGAGGGTCCTAAGGTATTCACATTTGACTCTATGTTTAGACTTCTTTGTGTTCGATGTCTTTCCAGTTGTTTTGTTCAAATCAGTATTCATTTGATTGTGGCATCATAGGTCTCAGGTCCTTGACAGTGCACGTACGTGCACTCACACTCACCCTTTAATGCCATCAGTTTATGGAAAGGTGATATTTGATTGCTCTGCTTTACCTCATTTCTTGTAGGCTGGTGTTAGGTGCTCAGGGCTTGGCTCCTTTGGTATTCAGATTATTTGATGAGGATACTTAGTATCACAGTTGGTCGTTTTGCATGAACTGATTCTGGAAGTGATCAGTAGACTGGGACATCCTCTGCTGTATTTGTCCTTTGCACAGTAGTGTCACTGCTCATTGGTGATCACTGAAAGTTGCCCGTGCTAGTTTTTGCACCTTCCCCTCTGTAAGCTGACCAATAACTGTAGGAAACAAGAGCTTTCCTTTATTAACAGATGAGTTCAGATACGGGCTAGGGCGTTGAGGTAAAAGGTGCCTGCTGCCCAGCCTGACAACTTGAGTTTGATCCATGGAAAACACATGGTGAAAGGAGAGAACTGACCTCCACAAGTTGTCCTCTGACCTCCACACACACGTATGTATCCACAAACTAAATTAAATATAATTTTTTTTAAAGTACTATAACTAATCGATCCTTGCATCACAGATGCTGTCGGTGGTAAAGTGCTTTCTTAGCATGTGCAAGGCTCTGGGTTTGGCCCAAATTAATTAACTAAATCATTTTCTTCCTTTCTTCTTTTATAATATTTATTTTTATTTTATGTGTATGAGTGTTTTGCCTGCATTTATGTGTATGCACCCATGTGTGCAGTGCCCATGGAGGTCAGGGCATTGAATCCCCTGAAACTGAAGTTACAGATGATTCTTAGCTACCACATGGGTGCTGGGAACCAAACCCAGGTCCTTTGCAAGAGCAGCCAGTGCTCTTAACTGCTGAGCCATTTCTCTACCCGCCCCTTCATCTTCTTAAATTGGAGTTATATATCTGAATGTGGGAACTGTGAAAAAATTTTGATCACTGAATGTACAGAGTACTGGCTGCTCTTGCAGAAGACCCAGGTTCGAATCGCAGCACCCACATGACGGCTAACAGCCATCATAACTCCAGTTCCAGGGACTCTAATGCCCTCTTCTGGCCTCTGAGCATTTCCCGACACAGGTGCACTTATGTACATGCAGGCATAACACGTACAAATAAAATAAAAATAAATGTTCCCCCCCCATTTTAAATTTAACATGTATAATAAATCTGAAGTGTTTCAGGGAACATTCACCCATGATGCATTGCATGACCTCACTGCTGCCTTGGTTCTGGTCACACACTATGCACAGTTTGTACTGCACATGCCATCACACCAAGCAAGGCCAACGAACACTGCCTGAAACACCTCAGCTCAGATTCGAGGCTATGTGTGGTAAGAATCACAGTGTTTTTATTGTACATACCAAGTTTTCAGCATCTTACAGATAAATAATGGTTTAATTGTGGAAAATGAAGACTTTTAAAATATTTTCCTACCATTATTCTTCAGATAAGCATCAAATTAGTGTCAAATCTCTGAATTGCATTATGTTAGAATGTTTTTGAGTCACTGACTTTTCATAAGAAATTGTTAAATGTGTCAGACTGGTGGTGTACACTTTTAATTCCAGCACTTGGGAGGCTGAGGTAGGCAGATCTCAGTGAATTCCAGGCCAGCTGGAGCTACAGGGAGACCCTGTCTCAAAAAGACAAAAAAAAAAAAGTTATGTGTATGCCAGAGAATTATTTTAAGATAAATTTATTATCAGTAAACATTTGATTTGTGTACCTACTTTAAATACCTTTATATACCTGAAGCAAAGGAATTGCTGCTACTGGAAAGTTTTAAGAAGAAACCCTGGTCCAGTCCTTATTGGTTCTCTGGACACATCTTCACTGGTGGTCAGGGAATTGGGCTTGTCCTGGAGCTCACAATGAGGACAGGCTAGCCTTGAACTCATCATCTTCCTGCCTTGGCCATACATGCCACCAGGGAGTTTTCTTCTAATGTTATTGTGAGCTTGGGGACATTGCTAAAGAAAGTACTACTTCATTGTATAGTGGGGCCCCTCCCTTCATGTTTGCTCCTGGCAGGCAGCTTTTTGTCCCATTAATCTCCTGTGTTTCTTTGTTTCTGACACAGAAAGCTATCTTAGGCTAATCTTAGATATTTGCTTTCAAAGATCTTGAAGCTTCTTTTCAATAGGAAATGCAGTATATAAGCCAGGATTGTGTCAGCCATTTAATCAAATGGTCAGGTTCCTGGGTATTTCCAGAGGGAGAGCTAGGAAAGGGAAGCTTGTAAGAAAGGAATGTCATGAGTTCAAACTAATTCTGCTACCATGAGAAAATGGCAGGATTTTTAAGTCAAAGTAATTCTTTTCTGGGCTTTCCTATCATTTGTTTGAGTTTATTTTCAATTTTTCAAAATCATCTCAGCATTATGCATGACTAGTGTCAAAACTGAATAGAAGTCCTCCATCCCAGCCTGTAGTGTCACCTGCCCCTCCATTTGCATGTGCACCATCCATCCCCACATACCTCTAGGTACATTCTTCATAGTTTATGCTTCCAAATAGAAGCAAAGTACAGTGTGCCATAATCCCTGATCTGTCCTTTGCTATTTTCTGGGGTTTCTGTGTATCAGTAAATACTAACTTCCTTGTTCCTGTGAACAGCGGTGTGTCATCCTCAGTGTATGTGCTATGATTTAAGCGTTTTGTATGCATTTAGGTAGTTTCAAGGTTCTTGCTGTTACTAATTATGTGACAAAAAAGTCATTTGTATGCTGTTTCTTACTTTATTCATTTTATGGGATGGATTCCTAGAAGTGAGATGACTGTGTCACTGGCCACCAGCCGCAAGTAAATTCCCTCCCTTAGAGGTTAAGCATCTTGCTCTCCCATTTGCAGAGTACAAGAGTCAGGCTTACCTAAAATTTACATTTTTGTCAATCTGAGGCATAGTTGAATATACTTTTTTCCCCTAATATATGTACAGGCATGTGTGTTGTGTGGGTGTAAAGCTGGAAGCTGACATTCGAGCTCCACTTTAGTTCTGAGACAGGCTCTTACTGAACCTGGAACTTATCCATCCAGCTTGGCCGGCTAGCCAGTGAGCTCCAGGAATCTGCTTTGTCTCCCCATTTCCCCTCAGTGGGGTTACAGACAAGTACAACCGCACCCATCTTTTATGTGGATGCTGAGGGTCTTAACTCGGGTCCTCATGCTTACGTGGCAGGCATTCTACCAATTGAGCCATCTCCCCAGCCCTCTGAATGTATATTTAATTTGTAGATCTTTTGTTGATGGTTTTTTTTCTCTCTGAAAGGGCTGTTTAGTTCATTTTTCTGTCAGATTGTTCATCTTGCAAGGTGTTTGGGAGCTCCCACTATTGGGACCTCTAAAATCCCTTTATCGGTCACAAAACGTGTAATTTCTTCAGTCTGTCATTCCTTTTTTGATCTTGGTATGTTTTGCTCTGTGGGTGCATATACAGTTGTGGTTTTTGCCTTTGTTACATTGAGGCATCGTTAGGAAGCTTTTCCCACTTCCAAATCCTAAGAAACGTTCGTCCTTCTTTATTTATAAAGGTGTTGTGTTTCACTTTCTGATTATTTGGGTTGTATTGCATCGTTGTGAGGTATTTGTCTAGGTTCACCTTCCCACATAGCTGTTTTGTCATCAGTCCCACTCCCAGAAAGCATTTCCCCCTGACATGGACCACCGTTCTCATCAATTCCCAAGTTTACACAGTAACCTAGGTCTGTTTCTGGGTTTCAAGTCTTGGCCCTTTGGTCAGCCTCTCTGTATACTGCTTTCCTACTTCACTGATAATGGGTTTATGCTGTAATATTTATTGTACTGTTACTTAGGTTTTTTTTTTTTTTTCAATTTATGTGTATTGAGTAGTATGCCTGTATGCATGTATGTAAGTGTACCTGTGTCATTCAATGCCCACAGAGGCCAGAAGAGAGCATCAGATCCCTTGGAACTGGAGTTACAGGTGGTAGTTAGCTTCCACGTGGGTACTGCAAGAGCAACACCCGGTCTTCTGCAAGAGCAACTAGTGCTCTTAACTGCTAAACCATATCTCTAGTTCCTAGAATTTAGTTTTTATTTTTAATGTGTATTTGTGTGTGCCTTAGTGTACATGGGGCCCACTTGCATGCAGACAGTTATTAGCCACAATCTGGGTGCTAGGAACCGAACCCAGGTCCTGGAAGAGCAGCAAGTGCTCTTAGCCACTGAGCCATCTCTCTAGCCCCTGCTTAGATTTAATTTTAATCTTGTTTTCCCATGCAAGTTTTTTAAAAATGTATGTGTGATGTGTGTACGTATGTATACAAGTGTATGCATGTGTAGAGACCAGAGAGCCACACCAACTGTCTTCCTCTCTCTTGATTTTATGTGTATGAGTATTTTGCCTGCATGTCTGTAAGTACACATGTGCATCTAATGCCCACAGAGGCCAAAAGAGAGCATTGGAGCCAGGTGTGGTGGCGCATGCCTTTAATTCCAGCTCTGGAGAGTCAGAGGCAGATGGATCTCTGTGAGATTGGTCTACATAGTGAATTCTAAGCCAGCTGGGGCTACAGGGAGACCCTGTCACAGCAAAACAACATTGAATTCCCTGGAACTGGAGTTACCCAAAGTTGATAGCTACTGTGTAGGTGCTCAGACCAAACCCAGGTCCTCTGGAAAAGCAACCAGTGCTCTTAACCACTGAGCAGGATTTTTCACTGAACCTGCAGCTTACCAATTGGCTAAACTTAGCTGACCGGCAAGCCCCCAGGGTCTTGTCTCTACTTCTCAGTGTTACACCTATGGAAGTTTAATAATCAACTTTATGCTCAAAACAATGATTTTTTTTTATTAGAAAAAACTGATATATTTATGGTTTAAGCATTCTTTTGAAGCTTGAATATGGTGGGTTTTTTGTCTATAATATGTGTCTCTCTCCATCCTTCCCTTCCTCCCATGCTGGGGATCAAACCCTCAGCTTATACATGGTTGGCAAGCCCTATACAGCTAAACCCATCCCACTTTGTGACTACTGTTAAAGTGAAGGCTGCTGACTTCTGGAGTTTTAATTTTTTTCTCTCTCCGTTATAAATCGTAAAAATTTAATAAAAAATAGCAATTTCTCCAGGATTTCTGTCTGGGTGTACAGTCCCTTGCCCCCCTCCTTCGTACAATTTGTTTTCTCCTGTAAAAAAAGAGGGCTTAGCAGTGGTTTTTATCCCGTAAAAAAGGGCTTAGCAGTGGTGCAGATACACTTGAATAGGCCCTTCCTGGTGGCCAGGGTATGTTCCATGTGAGTATGGCCTGGTCATTGAGCTTGTAACAAATGGGATGGGGTGGGTGAGGCTTCTGACTATGAAGAATCTTGTAGGAGGTGCTTTTTCAGAATTTAAAGTATTTTGTCCTGTTCTCTTCCTCCTATAGGCCTCAGCAACTGTTGCCATTCCTAAGGAGCACCATCGCTTTGTTATTGGCAAAAATGGAGAGAAGCTGCAAGACTTAGAACTAAAAACTGCAACCAAAATCCAGATCCCACGCCCAGACGACCCCAGCAATCAGATCAAGATCACTGGTACCAAAGAGGGCATTGAGAAAGCTCGCCATGAGGTCCTTCTCATCTCTGCCGAGCAGGTAAGACTTTTCAGTGGCCTGTGCCCCTGCACCCTGCCACCTGCCCAACAGAGGCCTTGCTCCTTTGTTGGCTACCACTTCCAAAGTGAACTAGAGGCAGGCACAGTGTGGGGAGGCGGCCCTCAGCTGCAGTTTTGGCAAGCCCTGTCTGTTGCAGAGTGTTCTTACTAGTCCATCCTGTCCCTTCTAGGACAAGCGTGCTGTGGAGAGGCTAGAGGTGGAAAAAGCCTTCCACCCATTCATCGCTGGGCCATACAATAGACTTGTGGGTGAGATCATGCAAGAGACAGGAACTCGAATCAACATCCCCCCACCCAGTGTCAACCGAACAGAAATCGTCTTCACTGGAGAGAAGGAACAGCTAGCTCAAGCCGTGGCTCGTATTAAGAAAATTTATGAGGAAAAGGTGCGGTATGGAGGAGGCAGAGCCCCTGAGCAGGAACAGTTAGTGGGATTTGGGTGTGGAGATTTTGGCTAATACCCTGCTGCTCCACCCCTTATCCTTTTTGTACTTAGTAGTTGGTTGGTAGCCACATTTCCCTCCTGGGCTCCTCAGTGCTCTCTTGGGTGGTGTCCTGGTTTTTTTCTGTGTGTATGTCTTGTCCCAGGCCTATCACCACACTGGTATGTTGCTGTCACAGGACTGGCACATATTGCTTAAAACTATTAGATTTTTTTTGACTTTGAGATCTGAAACTTGTTCTTTAATTTGGGAAAAGCAGGCTGGGGATTTCCTCTGTCATAGAAAACACTTGCTTAATAAACAGAAGGCCCTAGGTCCAATTTCCAGAAAAGGAAAAAAAATTGGGGAAAGCTGTTGTTGTTCTTGAGTCTTCCAGTTGATAGTATCAGCCTGGGGAGTAACCAGACTCTAAAGTCCAGTGCTTGAGAAAATTAGTTTCTGAGGAAGCTGGTCATGGTCTTCTTCACTTAATGGGAACCACATCCAGGTCCCCTTCCTACTTTGGTAGTGGTGATACTGTCCTCATGGCCCATGTCCCATACCCTCCCTGCTAACTTACTGACCGTACTTTACGGTGCTCTTAATTAGAAGAAGAAGACTACAACTATTGCAGTGGAAGTGAAGAAATCGCAGCACAAGTATGTTATCGGGCCAAAGGGCAATTCATTGCAGGAGATCCTGGAAAGAACTGGAGTTTCTGTTGAGATCCCACCCTCAGACAGCATCTCCGAGACTGTGATACTGCGAGGCGAGCCTGAAAAGTTGGGACAGGCGTTGACTGAAGTCTATGCCAAGGTAGCTCCCTCTGAGAATGAAGTGTGCTTTGATAAATTTCTGGGCTCATTATGGAATAGCTCTATTGGTACATCCTAGGGGATCCAGACACAGTGAAATGTCCGCAGTTAGGGGTACTCGCAACTAAATGTGTGGGTGTAAGGGGGGGGTGCGCGCGTGTGTGCAAGCACACACGGGTACATGCATGTGTAAGAGGCCAGAAGACAACCAAGAGTATCCACTCTCAGGAGGTGCTATCTACCCTGGTTTTTTGAGAGGAATCTCATTGGTATAGAGCTCTCCCAAGTGAGCTGGACTGGCTGATGAGTGCAAGCCTCAGATCCTTCTGTAGCCACCTTCCCAGCAGTGAGATCACAAGCATGTGCTACCATGCCCACCTCTTTTAGATCGTGGTGCTAGGGATTGAATTCAGGTCCCCATGCTTGCAGGACAAGTGCTTTATTGACTGAGCCATATCCCCAGCCCCACACCCGAACATTTTTTTTACTTTTATGTATTTCTTTTATTTCCTTTTTTTTTTCTTAGACAGGGTCTCCCTCTATCCCCAGCTGGCCTGGGACTTGCTCTGTAGACCAGGCTGGCCTCAAACTCACAGAGATCTGCCTGCCTTTTTTTTTTTTTTTTTTTTTTTTTTTTTTTTGGTTTTTTTGGACCGGGGTCCCCCTTGGCCCACACCCCGCCTGGCTTTTGTTTTTGGACCCGGTGTCCGCTCTC